TTCTAGTCAGGGGTTGATCCCTTTTCACCATATGTGTAGTAGAGTCTCATTGAATCATCTTTGTTTTGCTGATGATCTACTGATCTTCACAGTGGGTTCAGCTAAGGCAATCCTGGCTGTAAAGCAGGTTTTGGACCAGTTTTATTGGCAATATGGGCTCAAATGTAACCCCAGCAAGTGCTCTATTTTCTTTGGGGGTGAATCAGTAACGTATAAGCAGAATGCTATAGATCTTTCTGGATTTGCAGAGGGCTCTCTTCCTGTGAGATATCTAGGCTTACCTCTTATCTAAGGTAAGCTTACTAATAGAGAGTGTGAAGTCTTAACAGTGGCAATAACAAAGAGAAATAGGTCATGGCGTGAAAAGAAGTTATCTTATGTTGGGAGGCTACAGTTGATTTCCTTTGTTATTACAGGTCTTGTTCAGTATTGGCTGCAAGTGTTTGTTTTACCAAAGAAAGTTCTCAAGCTTGTTCAAAAGCTTTGTATGGATTTCCTTTGGCATGGCAATGATACTGGTAGGGCTAAGGTTGCTTGGGATCCATTGGCTCATCCTAAAACTGAAGGGGGGCTTGGTATACGTGAACTTAACTCCTTGAATTCATCTTGCTTGCTTCGTATGCTTTGGCTTTTACTTATGCAGTCAGGAGCTCTCTGGGTGGCCTGGATGCTTAAATACCGCTGTAAAACTAGGGACGTCTGGACTATGAAATAGAATGCGAATAGCCCTTGGGCCTGGAGACGGATACTAAAGAAAAGATCCCTAGTGCAAACTCTCCTTTGCAGGCAGGGAGATTGCGTTGTGTGGAATGGGCAACCAATGCACAGGTATCCGGTCAAGCTCATTTGGAACACGTTGCGTCCTCAGTACAGCAAGGTTGATTGGTTTAAATTGGTTTGGGGGCAATTCAGTGTTCCCAGGTTCAGTTTTATTTCCTGGCTTATCAATATGGATGCCATTACTACAAAGAGCAAGCTTATGAGATAGGGGAAGCTTAATGAAGACTGTTGTGTGCTCTGTCATAGTGCTAGTGAAACGCGAGATCATCTGTTCTTCGCCTGTGAGTTTTTCAAACAAATAGTGGTTGGGTTCCTGCGAGTTGAGCAGGTATGTCGTTGGGATATGCTTGCCAAATTGTTGTGCGTGGCCAGGGAAGTTTCTTCGGAGTAAAGTGGTGTATGCTGCTTACATACGTTTGGCAGGAGCGCTGTCCTAGAGTCCATCATGAACCCTAACGGGATGTGAGAGTGCTGCAGGACTTAATGAGAGATGACTGACAAATGTTGAAAATTTTGTAGATGTTTGTGGTTAAATGTCAGTAGAGGGAGTGGTTAGATGAGGACCTATCTCTTTTGCTTTTTCTTCAGGGTGGCCATAAATGGCAGCCCTTTCGTTGTATTGGTTTTGCGAATTGCAAATTCTTTTTACTTAATAGTAAAAGGAAACTGATTCGACGAAAAAAAATTTTGGGCCAAAACTAGGGGCGTTCAAATGGTTACCATAGTAATTACCAAACCAAAGAAGCCTAAAATTTATTAACCATGGAATACAATATTATAACCAAACCGTCCAAACTAATACAACAACCAAATTAACCAAACTAAACTTTAATCAGTTTGGTTAGTTGGTAATCAGAATAACAAATATAACATCACAATATCATTAAGTGAGAAAATCTCAAGTTAATGCAATAATTCACAATTTATATAATGAACAAAACATAACAATCGACACATAGTTATAGTTAACCCCTTAAAATAAATAAATGTAACTAATACAATTATCGTACTGTCAATAATAGAAGTATTCATAATATTTATGAGATATATGACTAATTACTTAACTGGTTAATTTGATTTGATTGCTTAGACCATCCACAATGTGGGAGGGTGGGAAATGTGGAAAAATAGGGAAATGAGGGAAAAAGGGAGGGTTTGGCCTTAATGTGGGGGTGGGAAAATAGGGTAATTAGTTGAACACTTTTTTTTATAAAATCAATTTATAGTTGATTTCAACATTTTATTTTTATATAATGATCGTTATTTTTACACAGATAGTGATAATTAATAAATATGAACATTTCGACATAATTTTTTTTGAATTTGGACATAATTGTTATCATCACTAATTAACGTCATTAATGACAAAATCACAATAATTTATACAAGAAATTGGTTACATTGATAATTGAACATAAACATAATCAAGAAGAAATAAAAGCAAACAAACAAACACTAAACCCTAAAAACAAACACTAAACCATTAAAATAATAACAAAAAAAATAAACAAACTGAAGCGGCCCACCTCCACCCCTTCCTCCCTTTTATGTCTTCTACAGGTGGGTATTCCTACCCAGAGTACCCAGGTGAAATTCACAACAACCGAGAATGGGGGTGAAATTTCCAATATGGCTGGGCATACGAATGGAGGTTCCCAGAATCAAGCAAACTCGGTCGACGGACAAATACCCACTGTTATCCGGATATTGGCCAAAGAGATGAAAGAAAAACCACCAGACCTGATGCGACCATCCCCGAACGTTAATCCACAGTCTGGTCAACTTGAAGGGAAGGGCATCACAGCGGCGATGAACATTCGTGATATGGGATACGATAGCAAAACTCGTCGTTGATGCGATCCGGTACTCGGGAGGAATTTGGATAGCTTGGAATGCGATCGAATATACTATTACTGAAATTCATCCTCACCCTCAATGTCTTCATATGCAGGTCAAATCCTCAAACTCTTAGGTTGTCGACTGGCAATTATCGGTAGTGTACGGAAACCCGGCCCCAGTTCAACGACGGGAAATTTGGAATTTTTTACAGAATGTAGCGGAAGATCTGGACACCCCTTGGCTGCTAGCGGGGCATTTTAACTTGATCCTCAGCCCAGTGAAGAAGTTAGGAGGAGCCAACTTTGACGCCTCTAGAATCAGGGAGTTCCAAGATGCTGTGAACGATATAGCCTTGCACGACTTGGGGTTTACTGGGCCGCATTTCACCTGGTTTCGGACAGGTCTCAGAGAACGCCTCGACAGGGGTATGGCCAATCCCCAATGGCTTTCGACCTTCCCAGAGACAACTGTCAGTCACCTTCCTCGCCTGAAGAAGTCGGATCACCGACCCATTCTTATATCGCCAACGTCTCAAGCTTAGCCAGGAGGGGAGAAACCCTTCCGAGTCCTCGCAGCCTGGCTTACCCATGAAGGCTTCCAATCTATGACGGCTGATGCTTGGGCAAAAGGATCATGCTTCACCGAATCAGTGGCAGCTTTTGCTAGAGACGCGACCACTTGGAATCGAACGGTGTTTGGTCACATCCTCAGGAAGAAAGACAAACTCCTTCGACGACTAGAACAGTTGGAACTTGGCCCTAGTGATCCAAGAACTGCTAACCAGATTAGCCTGGTCCAGGAGGAGCTTGAACTCACCCTCTTCCAAGAGGTATTGATGTGGTACCAGAAGTCGCGAATAGAGTGGATTAAATCGGGGGATAAAAACACAGCCTACTTCCATGCCAGATACATCCGACGGAGGAAGCGCAAGCGTATAAATATGCTCAAAAACAGCGCTGGAGAGTCGGTGGACGACCCGACTACCCTTCTAGAGATGTCTAGGAGCTATTTTTACATGCTATATACAGACGACGGCATGGAGATGCCTCCTCTGGAATCCCACTTCCACAGTTAGCCAAGGCTCGGTGGGTGGCCCTTGCTTCCACTCTCAATCAGACCAAAATCAGACGGGTTGTTCAAACTATGGATGCTCTCAAATCTCCGGGCAAGGATGGGCTCAACCCAATATTTTTTCAGCGATGCTGGGATACGGTGGGGGAGTCGCTCGTTCAGCTAGCTCAGGAGTGTTGGAGTAATCCGGAGAATATCAAAGAAGTCAATTCGACTGTCTTAGTCCTTATTCCGAAGATCCAACAACCGGTAACCATAGATCATTTTTGGCCGATAAGTCTTTGTAACGTGGCCTACAAAGCATTGACGAAATGTCTGGCGGAACGGTTGAAACCTCTGATGTCAGACTTGGTTCATTAGACGCAAACTAGTTTTGTTTCAAGCAGACGTATCACCGATAACATATGCATTCTGCAAGAGGTTGTTCACTCCATGAGGGCTCGAAAGGGCCGACGGGGATGGATGGTTCTCAAAGTCGACTTAGCTAAAGCTTATGACAGAATAAGATGGGGGTTCGTCAGGGACACGCTGGTGGTTGCTGGGGCTCCGGCCGACTTTGTTAACCTGACGATGGCGTGCATTTCCACTTCGCAAATGCATATCCAGTGGAACGGGGGACTAACTGAGGAGTTCCAACCGTCCAGAGGGCTACGACAGGGATGCCCCCTAACTCTCTATCTTTTTACGCTTTGTATGGAACGTCTCGGTCACCTGATTGATGATTCAGTGCGAACTGGGCGGTGGCAGCCTATAAAGCTGACCAGTAAGGCCCCCCGCTTGTCACATCTCTTTTTTGCAGATGACCTTATCCTGTTCAGTGAAGCTAACACCGAGCAAGTGCAGGAGATCAAAACGCGCTTTGACTTGTTCGGGGCATCCTCAGGCCAACAAGTCAGTAGCCCAAAATCCAGAGTCTTCTTCTTGGCCAATGTGACCGCTGACCACCAACGCAGCAGCCTTAGTGAGGATCTGGGAATCCCGGAAACGCTTAACTTAGGTCGTTATCTGGATGTACCAGTGATACATGATCGAGTGTCCAAATCAACGTTCATGGAGCTAATTGACCGGATTGACTCTCGTCTGGCAGGGTGGTAAGCCTCGTCAATGTCGATGGCCGCGCGTATTTACCCTTTATTTTATTATGAATTGTGTTCAAATATATTTTATAAATCATTTGATGTTAATGATTTTTCATATTTTATTAAACTTTCATGAATCGGCATAAACCGATTGTACCGCAGGTCAAATCGTACCGCTTGCTAAGCCTTTGAAATTGTATAAACCGATTTGACAACCTGGTCATGCCGGTTAGTCAGATCCGGTTCGGAGAGCTAATTTTCCAAAGTCCAACCTGACCCACACCTTATCCCCTTCCCCAAAATAAAACTCCCAAGAGATAAACGAAAAAATTCTTGTAGAGCAATGCAAACAGAGCAATGTCGCTCACATCCGCCCTCAATTCCCTCACCATCTCCACCCCTTTCCTCCATGGCTCCACTCCTCTGTCCCGCTTCTCCAAGCCCACTCTGCAGCTCCCTCCATCAAGGCCCTCCACATTCGTCCTCCCAATTCGGGCAATGAGGTCGATGCAGGGCCGAGTCGTCGCATCCTCCGGCGACAAGACGGTGGCGGTGGAGGTCACTCGACTCGCCCCTCATCCCAAGTACAAGAGAAGGGTCCGGAAGAAGAAGAAGTTCCAAGCCCACGACCCGGATAACCAGTTCCAGATTGGGGATTTCGTGCAGCTCGAGAAGAGCCGCCCCATTAGCAAGACTAAGACTTTCCTGGCCGTGCCCTTGCCCGTGAAGGCGAAGAAGGAGAAGAAAGCAGAAGGCGTCGAAAAGGGTAGTTCCTCGGACCTCGGGATTCCTTTGGAGTCTCAGCAACAGGAACTTCAGGCTTAGTATTGGGATGAATTGATTTTCCTTTTTCGCTTGTGTTGTAAGCCAATTCCTGTGTGTAATTCTGATGATACGATGATGCTGTGAATTACTGTTGATTCTATGGCATTGAAATGGAATGTGGTTTTTGATTGTTTTGCATCATTGGTACGGGATACATTGATTTAATGTTATCAACTGTGGGTTTCAGCTGGATTGAAATTGCAGGGATTTGGGTTAGGGCCGGAGCCAGCGTTTGTTTCAATGCTGCCTGCCAGATGTTTGAGGTTATGCCTCTGAGAGAAGGTCATGCCCGCTACACACATTTCTGCCCTTTGGCTAGTAATCGGACATTTTGCAGTCACCTTTAGTCGTCAACAGTTAGCTGACTAATCACCATCTACAGACTACAGCAAACTGCATAACTACGAGCAACGTACATGGCCAAAACTATGCAGGATACAGCTAATCCGCTAGCTCGAGATGTTGTTACGAGATGCTAGCCTTGTTGCTCCTTTGGTAGTTGTTTCTGTTAGTGTGTTATAGCTGTAGAAAATTTTACAGCAATTGATATACCTCTTAACTGATGACTATTTCTGCTTCCTTTGTCTTACATTTTGAGATCTTATTTAAGGCGAGCTTTACCACTAGCGTGTAGTCCGAGGTTGTTGTGGGTGACTTGTTCATAGTCTTCAAGATTCTCTAGTCGCCTTTCCCCTGCAATACAGTCTCGCTTTCTCTTTTTCTTGTGCTCTCTCTTGTCAGCAGTTAGCCATTGTAACTGATATTGATTTCTTTCTCGAAATCACAGTTCAACTCAGTAGGTAAAACTGAGGACATTCACTTGTCAATGTGGAAATTTGGTAAATTCTGTCACTGCTCAAGGTATACATTGATCATATATCAATCATAAGTTATACTGTCTCTTTTTTGGTTTACCAATTGGGTTAAACAGATTCATTGTTTATAGTATTTCTGTGTACAGCCTCCCCTAGACAACCACAACCCCTTGGTATTTGCTGCTTCACTACTAAGGTGGTAAATCCCCTGAACTCCTATATTCGATTTCTCTGTACTGATCATACCACCTAGTAACTAAAGTACTCAACTTTATTCACATTCCAAGCTCGTCTTGATGTTCCTTAATGTGCAGGATATGAGCGCATTAACCGACTCCACGGATTCCACTGAAAGCTTGGCCGTAGGAGATGTACTTGTCAGGATTTGGAAGGCAATAGTGAGCAAAGATCCTCCGTCTGATCCCTTGTCTTCCATTGAAGTGATCACCTGTGGCCTCGAGTCGATTCCATCTGGGAGTATGGAGAATCCAGAAGGTAATATAGTTATGTTGCTTGAATCACATCCAGTAATCACGGATTGCATGCCGGGAATGTCAACTTGAGCATATACTATGGTGGATTCATAGCCATTTGTAGAGCTATCTTGGAGTATCCATGTGGTGGTCTCATTCGCTTTTGTCATCTGACGATCATCATTCGTGCATCAGAAATCATATAGCACTAGGAGAAAGACATGGGAGTTAGGTCGTTAAAGAGAATTTTGAAGCAACTTGCCTGGATAGTTACTGCATTCCCTCTGTCTTGTCCTTTGGCTAAGTTGGCAATGGATTGCACCGGACCCCCATTTGACATGATATCCCACTGGTTTTAATTGCAGAAAAGTTTCTTATCAGTGAATAATCATGTTCGTGGCCAAAATATCAACCCAACCCAAGCAACTTACTACCTCATTTCTCCTGGCTTCGTCACGTAAGAAATCGAACAACACATGAGGAGAGACCGGTAACCAAACCGAAGACGCTGCACACAAGATCACCCCAAATGGCTCGCCAGGGTCATTCAAGTTCTTCCTGGAGGACACCCTAATGTCCTCTCCTGTCTTGGCAGAGACCTTGTTCCACGTGTGGTAGCTCGACGCTCCTACTGCATGGCAGAAGGTCCACGTCATCCTCTGCGCCAGTCTCAGTATGCTTTTCCGCCCAGCAAATGTCGCAACACCTGTTTGACAAACAGCAATTACAAATCAGTTGTAGAAACAATAACAGTGAGGGTAGCAGCAAGCTAGTCCAGAGTTCTACCAGTCGAGTCTTTGGTAGGAACATTTGTGGCCATGAAGAAAACTATCCTTTCGCATTGAAGCTGCAGGGTGGCCGCCCAATGCTTTGCACCGAAGGCTAGCCCAGAATTCACAATGGTCCTATAGATGGAAGAATGAACTGCTGCTGTTCTCTGGCATTCAAGATGCTCTACCCAGACAACCTGCGAAGAAGTCCCGCTCGTAACAAACACTTTTTAGTTCCGGAGTTCCCAACTCTGTTATCTCATTATCTTTTGGGCGATGTATGTACTCTTACCTTGCAATGTCCATTAGATTGATCGTGAATAATGCATCCAGAGGGGCGCTTCCTGCACTTGACGAGCGAAGCATCGATGTTTTGTTCGACTTTGTCGATCGAGACGTCGACAATCCCCCACTCGTCCGGGCCAAGCTGCTTGCAGTAGCGCACGAAGTAGACTTCCCGAGTTGGGACCATTGGTGTCAGCATCTGGAGCTCTGCAAACATCTGTAACCATTCTACAAAACATGCGCTTAGACGCTATATTTGTAGCAATCAATTTCTGAATGCGACATTTCAAGTCAGCCAAGCTCACCAGTTGGATTCCCCCATTTCTGTTGGGGCCATCTCCATTGCAGATGACATCAACAGTCGCCGCCTTTGCTACCATGCATGCAAACATCTCTTTCCATTGATTCTACACCACCACAAACAAACAACAGAAATGCATCGTCTGAAATTACAATGCATCTTTCAACCACCACTCGTGACTAAAAATCACATTTAAACCTTACCACATCCATGAAGCTCTGAAGCAACCGCTGAATCTCCAGAAACACAACCACGCTGCTCCTCGAAGCCTCGACGACGGCCGCCCTGCCTCTTCCACCACCAAACTCCTTGAGGTACTCATCGTAGTTCAAGATCTCGCGACCGGTCTCGATGCTCCGAACCCAGAGTGGGTCGTTGGCTGCAGCCATCTTCTTGAGCTCGTCCATGGCCTGGTTGGCCACGTCCAGCACCCTCGCCTTCTCCAGCCCGAAAACGCCCGAGTAGAAATCCAGGGACGTCGTCGTGGTGGCGGCGGAGCCCCTGCTCTTGTTGTTATTATGGTCTTGCTGATTGTGGCGGTCGCTGCTTCCACCCGAACACGAGCTCGTGGCTGCAGTAGTAGCATTTGTCCCTGCAGCTGCTTCTCCGTAGCCGCCTGGTGGTGCGTGTTTCTCCACTAGAACTCGAAGCTTCTCCACCTACGTACATATATATGCATGCATTTTGTTATGCGTATTTTGTTTAATACAAAGTAAGGTAGAGTAGTAGGTAACTAATAAATACCTCGGCTCTGAGCTTGACGTTCTCGATGCGGAGATGTTGTTGTTGGTCGGAGGAGGCGAGAGGGAGGTCGGAGTTGAGGCAGCAGCAGGAGGCGGCGGAGGCGATGGTTTCCCTGAGGGCCTTGTTCTCGTCGCGGAGCTTGTCGATGTGGGACTTGAGCAAGGAGTTCTCGTGGCGCTCTTGGATGGTCTTGATTTGGGTGCGGCGGTTCTGGAACCAGAACTTGACCTGCCGCGGGGCCAGCCCCAGTTGCTTGCTCAGCTGCTGCCTCTGCTTCTCGTCCGGGTGTGGTGATTCTTTGAACAGCCTGCATGCGTACAGAAATTATACAAAGTAAGCCTGCTTCATGTTAATATTTCATCGTCCGGGTGTGCAGATTTGTTGTGGCTACCCTTGTGCTTATCTGATTAATCCGTAAATTCTATCATCACATATTAAGATGAATTAATTCAACTCGTGAAATACCTTTGAATGTTACATAAATTGATCCAATATTAAAACAAAATAAAATATAGCCAGTATTGAGATATTCACTTTCGATCATGCCAATACTCACACGGATGATTTGATCTAACATGCAACTCGTGAAATACCTTTGAATGTTACACAAATTGGTCCAATATTACAACAAAATAAAATATAGCCAGTATTGAGATATTCACTTTTGATCATGTCAATACTCACACGGATTATTTAATCTAACCTGCTCTTAGCATAATACCAAATATGAATATTGAGATATCCGATATGTCTCGACAGCGTAGTAACAAATTAAAATTGAGTAAGCAAAAATTGAACAAAAAAAAATTTAATAATAATTGGAAACTAAAAGATGAAGGAGGTTTAGATAGAGGAGTGTACAACGTACGCTTCCATTTCTCTGATCTGTTCAGGAGTATGGCGGTGGTACTTCTTCCTCTTCTTCTTGCTCTTCATCATCATCTTCTCCCCACCGCCGCCCCTCTCGCCGCCCTTCGCATTTCCCTCGTCGTCGTCATCATCGTCCTCCTCCTCGTCGTCGTTCTCGTCATCATGCTCCCCTACCATCTCAAACTCACCATCCCCGGCCGTCGACCTGCACGAATAAGACCTCATCATCACCACCGCCCCGGAGTTCTCACTACTTATCTCCACCGTCTCCTCTCTCCTCTTCCTCCCTCCCCCGCCGCCGCTCCCTTCCTCCCCATCCTCCACCTCCGCGCTCCCTCCTCCTCCTCCTCCTACCGCCGCCGCCGCATATCCCCGTCGAAATATCCCAGCCTAAAACAAACACAACAAACAGTTAGCATGTATAAAAACAAGATTGTTTTGTAGAATTAAGAGGTACTAACTACGTACTAGGCTGAGGGAGAGAGCTGGGGAGGCGAAGAGGTCGTCTTTGGTACGAGAAGAGACGTTGGAGGCAGATACTTGATTCTCATTATTGTTATTAGACATCATATCATATCATGTCAATTTGTCAATCTGTCTATCAATCCCATGCCAAGTTAGAAGCCTCTGGTCTCGTATGTAATGTTATATATTTATATACACAACCCTTGCTATCTCTCTCTCTATAATCTGCTCATAATGATGATAATAAATCACCATAAATGAGAAATTTATTATGGCGATCGAGAAGAGAAGAAAGGAAAGCAAAAACAGAAAGGAGCTAGATGAAGAGGGGAGGAGAGGAGGAAGGTAGCAACAATGGCTTTTTTTTTTTCAGGTGGGCCTGGTTTTGAGACTTGAGAAAGAGAGAGAGAGAGAGAGGAGTTAAGGACAAGGGTACAAAAAACAAAATTATATGAAAACTGAGAGAGAGAGAGAGAGAGAGAGAGAGAGAGAGAGAGAGAGAGAGAGAGAGAGAGATTTTCAAAAGGGAGGCTGGTAGGAGTTGACTGTTAGATATAATTCTTTTTTCTCAGTGTGGAAGTCTGCACACTCTTCCCAACTAACTCCTTATGCATTGCATACATTTCCCTTATACATACATACAGACAGTATTCTGTCTAATTGGATACTTGGCTAGCTTTGCTCTACAAAAGAATTCTAGGATTACAAGTTCTTACATGAATTTTTTTTTTAGGGATAGATGGTACCAAGGATATACATCCGATACTAGTACTCAATTTCATGAAAAATTGATAGTTTGGGGGAGAGCATAACTATATATAACCCTATAGTGATGATGATTGTTGATGAGAGGACTCTTCAAATGATAATTAGGCTATATAGCAGTTGAAGCGCAGGAGAGGATACCGTGTCAGTTTACATCTTTTTATTGAATTTGATTTGTCATCACGTATAACAAATTTTCACATGAACCGTCCACCATGAATTAGGACGTCGTTGAAACGCTTGCATACATATTAAAGAAGTGTGATAGATATGTTAGTTTAAATGCAAGATCCTCCATTTTTTTTCCTGTATAGCAAATAGATTCTTTCGAATTAAAAATTAGTCAAGTCAAGTCTATAATAAGTAGTTGAAAAAGAATGGATTGTTTAAACAGATGGATTTGGATGAAAGATTTGGAATTGAGAGATAATCAATATCTTACTCCCTTCTCATTCATAAGAAGTTCCGAAATCAGCTTTTGTGAAATATTAAAAATCTCCAGGCATTTTGAATCCGTCTAGAAATGATCACTCTTTTACTCATTTAACAAACAGTTCCCGACAACAAATTCACCGTAATTGTGGGTACATGAGTGATTAATTAGCTTAATTAATCGTTACTAAGAGAATCACCTGTAGGTAGTTCTCATCATCTTAGAGGGGTTAGCCTTGAAAAGCATTAATTTGGGCATTACTTGACTGAATGTTCATAATCATTTGGATGAAATTTGATAAGTTATGAGTGCATACTATATAACCTTTGGTGATGACTATTGATCAGAGAATCTCTTAAAATTATATGTGGCAAATGGATTGAATTCATGGATGGGTGAATTGGATTGGTGGATCCAAGGATCAAATAGATTAGTGGATTCATGGATTGAATCAAGTGGATTGTTGGATTATCCATGAATCCAAATGACATCCTCAACTTTGGACCAATATATAAAATCTGAAAAGTTAAGGTACTAAAATGTCATAATAAACAAATTTAGGTACCAAAATGTACTTTTTCAATTATTTTATATAAAATAAAATAAATTTTAGATATCAAAATATAAAATATAAGAAGTATAGGAACTAAACCATAATTTATCATTTGGATCCGTGGATCAATCCATGAATCCACCAATCCAATTGGATTTGGATCAAATGGATTCTATTTAAATGAATTGGATTAGTTGGATATTTTTAATAGATTGGTGGATTGGATTGAGAATTGTCACCTCTACTTAAAATGTAAATTATGCTATAGCAGTTGAAGCAGGAGAGTATACCGCATCAGTCTATATTTTTTATTGTATTGGATTTATCTTCACGTATAATAAACTCTCTCAGGAACTGTTGTATTAAGTTAGGCCGTTGAAACGCTTGCATGCATATTAAAGAAGTGTGATCTTTTGGTTTAAATGCAAGATTCTCCATTTCTTTTTCCCCGCATCAAGTTGAGTGAGTTTATATCTGCTATAGTTATGAAGTTAGAGGATTGTTAACCTTGAATTCAAGTGTCTAATAGTTCATGATGATAGATTGTTAAGATCACAAAATTGTTGCAAATACATATATGTTCATCTAAAATGAGTCTACTATTAAAATGGGTTGGATAACATGTTATGATATAATTATAGACTCATCGTAATTATGAATTTCGAGGATTTTTTACCTAGGATTTAAAATGGGATGCACATACATTTTCCCTTTATAGTTTATACAGACCGTATTCTCAATTCTGTGTAATTGGATACTTGGCCCGCTTTGCTCTTCAAAAGAATTATAGGCTTTTAAGTTCTTACATGAATTTTTTGAGTAGACAGATGGTGCCGCGGATATATACATACGATTACTTAGTTTCATGGAATTTGATAGTTTGGTAGAGTATACTACAAGTAGGGCTGCAAACGAGTGGAGTCGAGTTTTTGTTTAGTTTGAATTCGGTTCGTTTGTAAATTTTTCAGTTCAAACTCGGTTCGAACTCGAATTTTGATAATCCAGCTCGAGCTCAATTAAAAATAAGCTCGGCTCGATATAGCTTGGTAAATACTCATACACACAGCTTGTCAAGTTGAGTATAGCTCGATCTAACATCATTCTTGCTGAAAAATGTGTACATATAAGAATTTAAAAGATAAAAATAACACTATAAACTAAAAATAACAACTTCCATACACATCTGTATTAACACGATAATGTTCATGTTCAGAAGAGTAATTTAATCCTTCTACAAGCTCTAAACAAGCCAGCTCGTGACCTTAGCTCAATAAGCCACTGAGTCAAGCTCTCGTTTACTAACCAGCCGAGTGTCGAACGAGTTTTTTTCGATTCGAACGTCGAGTTGCTTGCAAGCGGCTTGGTTCATTTGCAGTCCTAACTAGTCACTATAGACATAGTGATGATGACTGTTGATGAGAGGATCCCTTAAAATGATCATTAGGTTATAGCAGTTGGATAGCAGGAGAGTATACTGTGTCAGTTTACATCTTTTTATTGAATTTGATTTGTCTTCACGTATGACAAATTTTCTCATAAACCGCCACACCATGAATTAGGCCGTTGAAACGCTTGCGTGCATATTGAACAAGTGTGATCTTCTGATTTAAATGCAGGATCCTCCATTCTGTTTTTCCCGCGTTTTTATGGAATAGCTTTTTCCTACTCTTATATAGATGATTCAATGTTTAAAATTATGCCACGGATTGGATACCAAGTTGGGGGTTCGGATTTGCTATATTATGAAGCAGCAGAGGACTGTCAATCTTGAATTCAAAGTGTCTAATAGTTACTTGATGATAGATTATTAAGATAACAAGATTGTTGCAAATACATCCATCATCTAAAATGAGTCGATTATTAAAATGGTTGGATATCATGGTATGATCATTTAATTAGATTCATCTTAATTATAAAATTAAGAAGATTGTCCATCTAGAATTTAAGTCTCTAAGAGGTTGTTAATTGAGAAATTATTAATATAACTGGATTGGGGAAATTAGATTGGCCTATTACTCAAATGCATTGGATATAGCGCTATGATTTAGACTCGTAGTTATTGTAAAAATTAGAGGGTCTGTCAATCTAAATTTATTCAAGTCTCTCTAAGAAGTTGTTGAAATCTAATCTAAATCTAAATCTAATCTAAATCATATAATAACCATTTTCCCAAATAAGACTTCTCTGATTCGAATTTATCCTTCCCTCACGCATCCACGTCAACAGCCTATTAGCCAATCAAATCATTTCAACAAAAGAAAAAAGAACCAACAAAAAAGAAATCATCCCTCCGCTTCCTCCATTTTCGGATTTGTTTTTCTTTTGCAATTTCAATTTACTTTGACTTTGTTTTTCTGTAAGGAAACTATTTATATCTTTTAGATATATCATAAGAGTTACATTTGTTACCATCTAAAAATATTGCTATCATATATTATATGTAGTTAAACTATATATAAATATGCCACCGTGTTTATAATAAAAATAAAAAGATTTATATTTCATATGCACTAGCAAGTTGTAGTGTATATTGCATAATATAAGTAATTTGAGTATGTTGAGTGAGGTTCATTCCAAATATTGTAAGCACCGGCTAGTTGCACGTTAGTTTAAATTTTGGAAATTATGGAATGACATATATTGTTTAAATATTTATTTTCAGTGTTTTATGCATCGAGATTTCATGAACCCACATTTGGGGGAAAAAATCTAAACCTTGATCTCAACATGATTCAAGATTGGATAAATAAACATTTATGAGTGCGTTGATAAAAAAAACTTAAATATTATAACATTATCATGTTATACATTTAGCCAAAAGTTAATACCTCTCAATTAAAAATTAAATGTTTTCACTTATAAATTAACTTATATCGTATTAATATCATGGGTGTCTCCGAATGGACTAAATTAGCTTTATATATACGAGTCAAACTCTCAAACCATACATTCGGGTCATAAACAAAGAATAACTAATATTTTTTGAATAATATATGATAATAATTCAAGTATGAAAACAATTTATTTAATATAAACATAGTGTATGCATGAATTTAATGAGATTTCAACCATGCCAATGGTCGAGATCAAAGCTAGTGATAATTGGTAATAAAAAAAAACTAGTGATAATTAAGCGTAGTCTGTCTAATTGCATTGAACACTTTGCCTGTTTTGCTCTCAAAAAGAATTTTAGGCTTTTAAGTTCATACATTAATGTTTTTGGAAGATAGATGGGTGCCGCGAATACATCCGTAACTACTCAATTTCATAAATATTTATTGAGAATTTATGAAAGCATACTATAACTCTAGTTAGGGGTGGCTATACGGTTCAGTCCGGTTAAATTGGCCCAAATTGATCCGGTCCAGTCCAGTCTTTTTGAAAATATAAGGACCAAAGATTGGATTGGATACAGTCCGGTCAGGTCCCAATTCGGTCTTGATTTTATATTGAGCTTGTAGGGATTTGAGTGGCCTAAGGCCTGAAAGGGTGAGGAGTTGGTTAAGTTTTGTACTAAGTACAAAGAAAGGGTGACCGTTTATGCAAATTACCCTTAAGTTTTGGGTATTGAGCTCTCTTATCCGGTCTTTATCCAGTTTTCACTCCGGTCCCGAACGATTTTTTTACCTCAAATCTAAGTCCAAAGATTGGATTCGATTGTTTACTATCCGGTCTTGGTCCGGGTTATACGGTCCGATTTTGGGTAAAACCAAAAAACCCGGACCAAATAGCCAGCCCTAACCCTGGTGATGAAGAGAATCTCTTAAAATGATAATTAGAATATTTTTTTGAAACAATATAGTATGTTGGATGTCCATTGTAAGATACTTTGGATTCCATATAGGATGTTACATTAGGATGTAATTACCTCCCTACATTGATCATGTAAATGAATCATCTTCATGGTTATTATATCACATTTATGTGCATTGATAGAGGAGAATGTGAAGGTTATGTATATGTATATGTGCCTATAAATAGAGCTCCCAATTGTACAAAGGAAGAAGATGAATAAGAAGAACTATTCCCCTCTCTTTTACCTTGTGTTTTTTCCTCTTCATAGTTCATACTCTTTCATAGTTATTAATCTATTCCTTTAGTT